AGGAATGGCCATGGCACTGGGAATAGTGGGTGGCTTAGATAACTGGTGTTGCAATGCAGATGCAAGTTCAGTACTATTCTTATTTTGGGCAGTAGTCCCCACCAGACTAAAACAATTTAGTTATAGAGTAGATTTAGGTTCCAAATACACTTTAACCATGTAATTTTTTAAATAACCTTTGTGGCTTCTGTGGCTCCAGGACATGGTCTACAACATACTGTGCAGTTTATGAGAGAGGAAGACATGAGAAAAAGGTGATGGACAGGGCAGTTTCTGATCACTCAGTAACATCAGCAGAGATTTAGAATAGCTATGGCAACTTTGGTTAAGTCACTTCTATGTAATTCAAAGCAGAATCTGCTGTGATTCTTCAGTGTGTTTCACATGATGAAAACACTAATGTGAGTTATGAATTAATGTAATTTTTTTAACCATTTAGAGATCAATATTCTCTTCTAAAAGTTAATTAGGCACTTTAAGTATTGATTTTTTTCAGTAAGGCTTAAAGTCCTGAATGGTTTGGAGTTTTTTTCCCCTCTTTGAAAATGGAGGCCAACAGAAGCATTAACCTTAAATTCTGTTGTATTTTGGAAGATGTTTTGAAAGATACAGTGAAGGTGAATACTGAATGTTTTCCAAACACAGTGATATCACTGGGTCCAAAGTACACCTTCCTCTGCAACCTCAAAAACAAACTCAGGGTACACAAGCAAAACTCATGGCCAGTTGTTTCTCCTTTACACTGTTACTCAGTTTAGATATTGCCATTCGGTTTCCAGTTTGAGGATACTACTTTTTATTCACAGCTGTTCCCTCCACAGTGTGTAGCCTTCAAAAGTTAACAAGTTCTACATGGTGTAAACTTCCAAGTACTACTAGCATTACTGCTGGATTGTTGCTTGTCTTTGGTAGTACTCTATTTTGGTTAGGGTGCTTATTCTGTAATATATCCTTTATCAAACAACGTATCGTAAGAAGTTCTAAAATGTTTAATTGTAATACAAAAACATAGCTTTGTCTGATGAGCATTTTAGGAAGTAGCCAACTCTTTTGTAACGTGTGGCGTTATGTAGGTTTGTGTTTGGCTAGCCTTAGTATTGTTTTCTGATTTCATGGCTTGCCTGGGGATTAGCTCTGCCACACGTTCTCCTGAAACATGGCAGAGGACATAGTGGCTGAGTGATTAACATGGGAGAATGTGTATGTGAAAACGGCTGCAGAACCTGAGAAACACACAGTTCAAACAGATCATAGTATAGATGCTGTGAAGTGAGGTATGCTTTAACTTGAATTTGCCAATAATCCTTTGTTTTGTTTTGTTTTAGTTACTTTTTCTGCCGGCAGCAGATGCTTACATCAGAGCTATCTTCCTGTGGCTTTTTCCATTGTAAAGCAATAGCAGTTGTTACTTTAAGAGAATCATTTTGCTTTTGTATTGAAAGTGTTAAATGATGAGATAGAGGCTTTAGTATGGAACTACCAATAAATCATGTAGCATTCTGTCAGTGTTCAATTAAATAACCAAAGAAAATGTTCTGCTTTGATTTCAGGAGTTGCTAAGTCGAACTTCACTAGAGACTCAGAAATTAGATCTAATGGCTGAAGTTTCAGACCTGAAGATTAAGCTGGTTGGTATGGAAAAGGAGCAGAGTGAATATGAAGAGAAACAGAACAAAGCTGAGGTGAGTTTCTTTCCTTAGGTTGTTTTCTTTTTTCTTCTATCACGCGTCTATGGTATGCTGTCATATACCTGAGCGTTTGAGCTCAGGCGTGTAGTAGGATTTTCCATCCATACCATAGATCCTGTGAATTCAGTGAAGAATATGATTATGCATTTTTGGGGATGTGGTTTCTTTTCCCCTCTCTCATTATACTTCAGAGGTTGCTGTTTGGCTTTAATCAAGGCACAAAGTCCCTTCCAGAATCATGCATTACAGTTGCCATTCATTTAACCCTTTCTTTTTCACGTGAGCTTGGCTGGCATGGCCATGTGAGGCCTACCAGAGCTCTCCTATTTCCTTGTTTATGTGGTAGAGAAGACTTGTCAGCCCACTAGTATCAGTGGTGGTACAAACACTTAGATGATCACCCTTGGTGATTTCAATGCATTCATGGCACTTGGGGGAGAAAGACAAGGAGCAGGGCATATTCCTCACATGAGCCTTTCCCCTTGTGGTTACATAATAAAATAGTGAAAAAAAAATTACATGCATTGGAGGCAATTCTAATCCTTATTCCCCTTCATATGTGGAGAGTTCTGGTCATCAAAGAAGCTTTGCTTTTTACCATATTGATTAAGAAAGAGAATATAAAGCAGGGAAACATGAACAGGGAATTGTGGAAGTGAGCAGCAGGTGGGAGCTGGGAAAGAAAGCGATTATGGAGAAAGTAATTTATATGAATTGCCATGTGTTGCCCTACTCAATGGTCCTGTAAGGGAACCAGCTGACAGAAGAGGATTATCTGGCAAGGGAGGATTGCTAGGTCCAACATTCACACATTGCTGACTGAAAACTTCCATGTTGACACAGGAGAATTTGAAATCCAGGCAGTGTTAGAAAACTGTTTGATCTCCATAACATCACTAGTGGAATATTTGATAACTGTGCATAAGTAATTTACCTGCAGTGACATAATATGTTTGGAGTGTTTGGGTTTTGACTTATGTATCCTCAGAAGTTTTCTTTAGAGATCAAAAGATAGCTTAAAGAGAGCAATCTCTGGCAGAGGTTGCAAGTCAGGGAGGCACCAGCTGCTGCTTTTACCATCTATGGCCTCCTTGTGCTCTTTCACCCATAATTGTCTCATACTACCTGAAAACCTAAACAGGTCTGTGCAGCACGTAATTGCTACAGATTGCAGCCTACTCTCAGTAGCTGCCTTTCTGAGAGGCCTTCAGCTCTTCCTGGTGTTCCATATGTAATGGGATGAGGGTGCCTAAATTATTGCAGGACACGCACAGTCAGCATGACTTCTGGAAGGCAACAAAGGTTTTGAGTACGTTTGTGTTGACAGAACTTTTAAGTAGGTCTGGGCCTGTGGTAACTATGAGGCTATGAGCTGTGAAATTCTTTTGATACTGCAACAAGGTGTATGAGCCCCCCTTGGATGGAAAAGTTGAACGTTATTGGGCCTGGAAGCCTTTGCTGTATTGCTGAGTGATAGGAAATGCTCCCACTGAGATGGAAAAGGCTTCTAATCTGATGGAAAAGTTGAGAATCATTGTGTTAAGTATGCCCTGAATTATTAACAGCCCCAAGATGTGATTAGATTTCTGGCCTGTTGAAAGTTGCAAACCTGTGTATACAACGCAAGGAAAATGAGTAAGTAAAGCTGTGGGAAATAAACAGTGTTTCTAGTTTGCTTGTTGATCCATTAAAAAAATTACTTGATTGTCCTGCATAAGCATTAACCCCATTTGTAAAGATAAACAGGGGTTGCTTCCAGTCAAATTGGATGCTTACTTGAATTCTAATGCTTTAACCCTATTATAGCTCCTTTGACTGTAAATTTAACTGATTTTTCTATACAAACACTATTTCAAACATAATAATGGAATTTATTAATATGTTTTCTTTATACTGTTAGACTACAACTGCTGCTTAAATTTGGTAATAGTTTGGGTGTCTTCCTGAACTTCTTGCCTCCACTGCCCAAGTACATCTTTCTAGTGAATAAGCCACTTTTAGGTACTCGGTCTACCTTTAGTTTGCTCTCATGTATGCATACACAGTTGTGTTGTGGTAACCTACTTGCTTCAGAGTGAGACAGTTCTCCAAACTGACAGTGACAAAAGGAAATTAATCTTGCTGTAATTGTATCTCTGAATGTTGTAGCTTCTTCAACATGCTCTTATAGGTATAATATCTCAAATGAAATTGCTATTAGTATCTTTAAGTAAGTGGAATAAAGCTATGGGTGACAGCGTTAGAGCCTTTTTTTATAGATCACAGCTGGCCAATTGCTGCTTTCAAGACTGAGTTTAGGATTGACAGAGGTGAGATCTGATAGATTTGCTACTATCAGAAGAAGGTAATAGTCCTGAGTTTTCACCCTAGTGCATGTATTACAGAGGTATCCAGAAGTGAAACGGTTTCAAACAGCTTGTTAATTATACTTCGTGACTGACCTTGCCATTTCTAAATATAATAATGGCTTTTAAAAAGTTTAAAATTAAATTGACATTGCAGAATAATTCAGCTTAAACATGTTTGCTCTGTACTCTAATTTTGTGTCAGCTTATTTCACAGCAGCTGTTTCCATCACATGGAATTTAGCTTTAGTATTATTTCTCTGGTTGGGTTGGGGGAAACAAAGCAAATTAAGATATCCTTCTAAATATGAGCAAGTTTTAATGTGCAAGGTTCATTTCACTTTATCTTGTGCAGCTGTTGTTTAAATTTGGTTTTAGTTAGCAGCAAGGAGTTTATCAAGCATCTCTAATCTCTTCTCAAAGGTATTAATTTCACACTGAATGCCACTTGTCTCTGTCTCTTCAAAAGCACATGCTAAATTTAAAGTGCCATTTATTTATATATCTAACATAGGGGCTAGGAGAATAGCTGCTTGTAAAGGGACTGTCTCAAGACAGTCCCATTTGACTTTGTCATTTTAATGCCTTTTATATGGAGTAATATTCTCCTTTTGCCACAGCAATGCTGTGAAGGTTTCTGAAATCCCATCTGAGGGAGTTTGTGTAGCTTCTACCTGAGAAGCCTTAAAAAATTTGGAAGTGTGTTTTCTTAATGCAGCAAGGTGTGAATGATCAGCATTACCAAGTGATCAGCACAGCCCAGGTGCCTGCCTTACCTGAACATGGACAAAAGAGACCTCCTATCACTACCAGGGGACTGCAGAAGTGGTTGTCCATATCAACTTCTTTAACAGCCCTTCCTCTGTCCTACGTTTTCTTTTTTAGCATAGGATAAGTTTTGTTGGTTTTGCTTTTTCTTACTAAGGATCTGAAGCTTGCTGTAAGCTGTTGGGAAGTGTTTTGTGGTTCTTGTGTAGACTATTCCGAATATTCTGAATTAAATACCTAGTGTATAGTTACTTGCAGTTTCAAAGAAACTTGAGTCAGTGAGCCACTGACTCCCACTGGGGAGTCTGCTGTGTTGTCTCACCTCAATCAAATTCAAGATACAGTATGTTAATGTTAATAGATTCTCATGCTGTGAAGGAATCTCAAAAAGAGAAACCTTTTCTACCTTGAAACTAGAAAAAACTGTGAAGGCATATATTGCAGCTGGAGTTAATATGTTTCTCCTCCATAGACTTCTTATTCTTCACTGGGTAAGGATTTCTGCCATTTCTGTACTGTCAAGTTTGCCCTGAGGGAAGTCTGTGTGGAGGCAGAGTGTTTCCAATTCCAGCTTTTCATGTGAGGCAATAGAGAAAAAAATTATAAGGCAGCAACAAAAGTGTTTCTGAACTCTCCCAAGTTGCCACAACTGGAGTAGCTGTCAGTTTGTGCTCAAAAGTCTGTGCATCTTGTTAGAGCAGCCCTTCTTCAGAACTTCGTATGGGTTGTGTTCTCTGTCAAAGGCAAACACAGGCTAAAGCCTTGGCGCTTGAAAGAAAGCAAGGGAGATAGATGTGTGTCCTGATGATTCCAGTTATTGCCAGGAGGTACTGCTCAGTGAGGTATCTGAGTTTGACAAGGTTCTCCCCACCAGTGTCCTACGGTGTTGCTGCAAAGTGGCTAACGTAGCCAGTATTCTTTCTAATTTTTTGATTGTTTATGGAACTAATCCTCATTTACACGAATTAAGAGTTGGCTGGATGAAAGAGTATGAGCATCAGACATTGTGATCCTGATTAAGATTAATATGTAAGTAAGTTAAATATATGCAACTGTTTTTCTGAATTTCATTTTAAGCACAGTGCCTTAGAAAAAATAATTGCTGTGAAACTCTTGAACCTAACTGACACGTACACTGTTGAAAGGAAATCTGTGAGTGTTTAAAGTTGACTGTGGATGCTGATGCAGTTTGAGATTGGTTGTGTTATATATTTACCTGGATAGAATAGTGTCTTGTCCTTGCAGTAGCTGTTCTCTAGCTTTGTGGTTGAGGGTTGTGATGGCAAGAGGACTTCTGTGCATTGTAAAGAAGAAAATCTTAAAAAACGTGCCATGTCTTCTGTTCCCCTGTCCACTAAAATCTTTCCCCTCTTTTTTGGAGTTGGATTAATCTCCACAAACGTATTCCAGTTGAGAAGATTGAGAAATCCCAAAACAGATGTTGTTAAAGTATGTGAAAATTAAGAGAAAGGCACTCCAAACTTGTAGTACCTGAGAAATTACCCAGCACAATGATAGATAGATTTTAATACTTATCTTTTTTTTTTTCCTTTCTGTAGCTGGATTTTATTTCTGTTTGTTTGTATCACTGAAACACACAAATCCAAGAAGCTGGCCAGCAAATTGGTGCACTTTAATTACTTTTCCTTATGTGGTATCCTTTGATTTCTCCTAAGTATGTTGCTTAACTCTTTCTCCATGTCAAAATACTGTCTAGCTAGCAAGCGCCATGCTGGACCTGGAAACAGAATTACTTTACTAGTAATTTCTGTGTATAAATCATGAGGAGTAGGTTATGGCCCCCACTGAGCACTTAGCAATTGTTTCCTAGCAAATGATTTGGCTGTAGGAATGAATGGAATCAATTCCCGTTTCAGCAAAAGTTTGCTTCTAAGCCCCACTCAGAGTGTGCCTCTGTTCCAGTTCTTCATGATATCAGACTTCATGTGACTGGATAAGCTTCCAGAACTGAGGGGCCAAATTTTGATCTTTACATTAGAATCAGAATCGTGAATTAGTCTGGAATATAGACTCTGTTCTATGTAACCTGTAGCTCTGTGCAATGTTCCAGATTTATATCCATTCACATATACTTTAACAGAAGGAAAAGACATAGTCTTTTGGGTCTTTTTTCAGTTTGCCTTTGATGTGCTTCATGCATTTCGTTGTGCTGCAACTGTAGAAGTCGTCTTTGCATTGTTTTCTTTCTCACTTCTTTTTTAATCTTTTTTTATCTCTTCTTTTTTTTCCCCTTTCTTCCAATGTTTTCAGTCAGTAGTGAACCTGATCAGCGAGCTACAGGAGCAGATGTGTAGACTGCAGCTGGAAATTAATAGTAGAATCCAAGAAAGGAATTCTCAAGATAGGAAACCAGACTTGACACCTAATAGTCCTCAATCTAGGCCAAGATCAGTGGTAGAAACTCCCAGCCAGAAGAATTGTTCTCAGTGCGATGTACGAGAAGTACACTATAGCCTGTGTATTATTGCTGCTTCTCTACTCTTGCAGAAACTAAATTCTTCTAACCAGGATGGTGTTGTGCATTACTGGCATTAATCTTTGTGGCTTTCATTAGCAGAGAGTGAGGTGGTCTTAAAAAGCACAACAAAAAAAAACCCACCCCAGGCACCCCACCCCCAATTAATAAATTGGGTCACCATTGATGTCTGTGTACTAAAGCACAGGTATCTGTAAGACCTAAGCACTTCTTTCAGGTTTTTTGTTAATTTAATTGTACTTTTAAGTCTGTAGTGCTGGTGTGGTGTGTGGGTTGGGGTTTTTCTAGTTTGTGATTTGGGGGGTTGAGATTTATCTGTTCGATATGCAGCATGCTAGCATGGTTTGGTAATTTGCTAGTTTTTGTCACAGGAATGTCACCCTAGCTGTGCATGATGGTGCACTCTAACCAGTCCTCTAAACACAGATTATTAATTCTTGAATATCTTAAAAGCTTTGCACAGGTATGAAATACAGTTTCAGGTAAGAGTATCTGAAATGTGTCCATTCTTCTTCTAATGATGATGCTAAAATGAATGGAAGGAGCCATAATAAAAATAACCTGCTTGTACCTTTCAAATAGCAAATCAAGCATATTTTTCTTTCTTATGTGACAGCAGCAGTTACCAGAAAAGCATTTTTGAGTTTACATTACAGGTCCTAGTTGTAGCTGACAAAACTGTTACATATCAAAACAAAAGCTACTTTGCCTAAACCACTTCAATTTACGGAAGGTGGCATGACACTGGTATGCCTGAAAATTTCCATTTTAATATTTGCTTTTAAATCAGTTTGCTTTAGTTGCCACATCTCTTTGGTTACAATTTGGATCCTCAGAACTCATTTTATAAGTAATCTGCTTGTATTGTGAGGGAGTTTTTCAGTAATTTTTCTCATAGGTTTATTTTACAAAAATAACTCCTTTGGGCATGATGCCTATTTTGAAAATAGTGCTATTTTTCTGAGCTTGCCTCTGTCCAGAACTGATTAGTGAACTACTAGACTATACTACAAGCAGCATATTGGAGAAGTCATGAGAGTCAAATCTGGGAGTCATTCAAAATAAGTAACTTAATCCAAGATATTAGTATGACTGTTCAATGTATATACTATACAGCATTCCAAAATTGGGCTAAGCTTCCAAATTTTTCCTTTCCTGAGTTCATTTTAAGACAATTGGTCTTGTCAGAGTGATATTTAGGAGACAACTTTATCTCTTAGGAGTAGAGGAATAGGAAGAGAAAGGTAGGAACCCTGGTTGGCTGCAGCTCTCGGCTACAACTCAGTTTCCATCAATGCTGGAAGTCGCATATTTGTAGTGTATGGCACTAAAGGCCTCTAACTCGCTAGATACTATTTTGTCTTAGTGTTGTTTTTCTTGGTAAGCAGTTTAAACACCTCTTAGGAGTGAGGATTGTCACTTTGATTAAAGTTGGTAGTCTGGTGGTGGTTTAGCACTGCATGTTTCTGCTTACTTTATGAGGTGGCTTAAAACCAAAATGAGACACAAAACAAAAGAAGAAAAATCAACCTCACAACAAAACCTTGATAGTTCATGTTATATGAGACTGCAATTGCAGATTTTTTGGCTCATTTTCACCAAGACACACATGACTTCATCAGGGTCAGCTATCAGATAGGAAATTTGTTCCTGATTTCAAGTGGAGAGTTTGAGCAAGTATTCCTTATCTTTCAATTCAAGATAGTTTCTTGTCTTATAAGATTAGGTCACAGTTTTTAGTGTGGTGGCTCAGTGTTCGTTACTGTGTGGTTCATGCATGATCTTTAGTTCAGGACTATGAATAATTACTACCTACTGGAGAAATCTTACTTACAGCTGCTGTTCTTTCTTTGCAGGGTTTGCTACAGGAACTCAGACACCTCAAAATTAAAGTGGAAGAACTGGAAAATGAAAGAAATCAATATGAATGGAAATTAAAAGCAACTAAAGTAAGCACAATACTTGTCATTTACTAATGACAGTCATTTCAGCTGGAAAGGGCAATATCTACTCTTCTTACAATTGCCTTATGTCAGGGGCTACTATGAGTCAAGTTTTCTTCAGCCAACTTTGGAATGTGTATTTTGGTTTAAAGTTTTTGTAGCTCCTTTTTGTGCTTTTTGCTTCCTCCCTGCAGTTTCCAATATTCTGACTTTTGATAATTCTTAGTTTAAAAAATCAAAAAAATCAAAAGGCCTTTTGACTTACAAAAGACCTGTTGTGAGGAAAGGCCTCCTTGAAATTTTTCTGTATTTTATTTGTGTAATGGTGACAAGCTTCTGTGGAATCTGCTTTCCAGATTGAAGAGACATGCAAAGTTGGTTGAATGTTCACTTAGTGTGGAATTTACTTTAATGGACATTAAGCCCAAAATACACTATTAGATCATCTGCTTTGACTTGATCTATATCAAAGTGCATAGCTGCCTTACCCTTCTGTTGACCTTAAATCCTGGAAAGCTGTTGTGTCCTAATCTGGAGAAACATGACATCTGAAACATTTCATTATTTTCCCCAATGATTATTTTTTCTAGTTCAACATTCTCATGTTTAAACAGTTGATCTTTATTTCTAGTTTGAATTTTTAGGCTTTTTCCATTCTTATAGATTAAAATTCTTTTAGATTAAAAAGAACCTTCTTATTTTTCCCTGTACACTTTTGTGCTGTAATCACATCTCCTTTCAACTGTGTAGTACTTTAATCTCTGAATTCATATGAATGACCGACTCTGAGTTGTGGTTGGATCTTGGAAAAACATTTTGAATTCTTAAACTGAGTTTTCTTTTTAATATTTGATAGCTTGATCCTGAAATGACAGACAGCGATTATTTGTATTAGCATTTCTCTCTTTTGACAATTCTCAGATGAATATTGAAATGTTCTATGAAATGTTGCTGTCATGTTTTTTTCTCTGAAGATCATAGCTTTCGTATCCATGAAAATGTTTTCTCTGAAGTGGTGGATATGAACAGCCTTTGGGAAAATAGTTTCTCAAGTATTGTGGCCTGTGGCCAGTTGCCAAGACAGATAAGGATTATGGGAAGTATAGGAGTGAAATAAGAAAGAAGAGCAAGAGAAGATGCGGGTCTAGAAAGGAAGAAAAGTACAGGGGAAGAG